TCATCCCGTTGGGGTCAGACGGAAGTTATGGGTGCTAGTCAGTAGCTGTGGGTGCCACGATAGACCGGGGGGTGGGGAGGTTAGATTTATGACGGGGGATGTACTGTTTAGTGTAGTGGGAAATAGAAAAAAAGGTTTACTAGTATGGCACGGGACGACCCGTGGGAAGTGTTCTGATGTTTATTATGGTGGAACATCAGGTGAAGCAGTTTGCTTGTGGGTACAAGGGGGGGGGGGGGGGGGGGGGGGGGTTAAGGCTGTTAAGTGTGGGTGAGAAGGGTGGGAGGGGAGGGCAGAATAGACTTTGAAGTCTTCAGACTTGGCAAAGTCATAAATTAGTGCGTAATTACTTATCTACTAACCGTGGTCACATTTACACATATACATATACATACACATACACATACACACACATACATGTGTGTGTGTGTGTGTGTGTGTGTCCCACAGTTATAGTTATTAAAGAAAATACTCTATAGTCTCAGTGTTTAGTTTTCGCGAAGAACTCCGACAGACGTTCTATGACTAATGAGCAAAGTTAAACGTCAAGCTCAATCTGTCTGACGAAGATGATCTTTTTTTCAAATTCAAATTACTCACTACACCCCCGCCCTCCTCGTCCCATGTTTGAACTGTCGGCTCACGAGTACCAACACAACTCATTCAATAAAACAACCCCCCCCTACCACCCCCACCTCATTACACTTGGTGAGCTCACAAACACGAGCCGGTTTTGTCACCCGTGAGCAGAGATTTTCACAGGGAAATTTTTTTTTGTAATTCATAACAAAGGACAAAACGTTCGTTTTAATCAAAAGTGTTCGGTGGAAGGGGGGGGAGGTGTTGTTGGGACAGAGGGGTTTAGTAGTGGGAGGAGTACGAGTACTGTTTCTGGATTGTTGGGGTGAGAGAAAATGTGTTGTCGGTGGGGATGTTATAGGGATAGACAGATTTAGTGTCGTTGTTGAAAGAGAGAGAGAGACAGAAAATGGTGGGGGGGGGGGGGGGGGGCGGGACATGTGTTAGGGAAATAGAATAGAAAGTGTAAGTTACTTTTTTTTAATTTGGGGGTGGGTGGGGGGATTCGAGAGGGAGGGGTACGAGTTGAGAGAAGTTTGGCGAGTTACATTAAGCTCAGATATGGGGAGGGGTGAGTAAAGAGAAGTTTTATTTATGGGATGGGGAGGGAGTGGGCGTGGATCTTTGAGTATGTCTGAGGGAGGGGTGGTAGAAGGGTAAAGAGAACAGCGCGGATAGAAGAATGCATGTTCATTTGTTGGGATGGGCTTAGAACCGAGGCGGGAGGGGAAGGGGCAAATGGAATCACGACAGCACGGCTAGACAAAGGAAAAAAAACGGAAAGGGAAGTAAGTCAAGTTGACGAGGAAATAAATGTTTGTTTCGTTTTTGTCGGTGGTGACTTCATTCAACTTTTTTTTATACACTCGTCTTAAATTTATGTTTAGGCCTACGTGCAATGGGGATTTAACTAACTGTTTAAGTAAAAAACGGGAAATTGTCGATCGTCTTCAGCGCTATTTAGAAGTTAGAATTTGCTCGTAACTCCACCTTTATAACACATTACCAGCAAAATAGGCAGAATAAAATACTACACCGGCACTAGACTTTTCTATAAAGAACAGTCATCCAAATGAAAATTAAATGTGTTGAATGAGTTCATTTTTTCACAGCTAGAATTTGCTTTTTAAAAGATATGTTCTTATATTGCATATTATTTAAATAAATATACTTATTAAAAGACAAAAGCTTGGAAGTTTAGAAAAATGGTTATATAGAATTTTTTTTTTAAATCGATAATTTACAACCGGTGATTCGATAATAAAAAACCTTAGCCGGGTGGGGCAAATAATTATCGCGGAGAACTCCGCCAGTTACTTCCCCTGACTATCGCGTTACACATCCCTCCATTATTTAACTGTCTGCACTTTCCATCCCTGTGACTCATTACCCAAGAATCGAGCCATGCTTTACTTCCCCCCCCCCCCCTCCCCACAACCATTTTTCCCCGTTTAACTGCATAGATTTTGGTTGATACAGTTTTGCATGACATGAAAATGAAAAGGCTTGAAACAAGATTCTATTTGAGCTAGGAATACAGTTTCGGTCATTAAAATTGAAGTTCACTTTCAGGTAACTAGTAAGCGACTCACCGTGACGTTATGGTTATATGTGCGTAGTGGTGGGGATTGGGAGAGGGGGGGGGGGTGACAGTAAAACGTTGTTTAAATTTTTAAATATACCTTTTCGTCACTAATCTTGTTAAGCTTAATAATTAAGGTGTCTTTAAAACATACACCGCCCCTCATCCTACCTGTGCTTTTATCTTCTAATAATTTTTTTTAACTAATTTTTTTTTTATAAAATGGAAGGGTGGGTGGGAGGATGAGGTGAACAGAATATATCAAAGATTACGAATCTCCCCCACCCTCCTCATACTAAAGTATATTATCGGTTTACTAGCTACGAGGCTCTAATGGGTAACGGACTCGAGAATCTTAGTATTCTGGCAGTGGTATTCTGGTAATTTTGACAGTGATACTATCGGGTACTCTGGTTGTGATACTCTGACAGTGATATTCTGACAGTGATACTGTGATAGTGATACTCTAACAGTGATACTCTGACAGTGATAATCTGACCATGATACTGTGATAGTGATACTGTGAAGGTGATACTCTGCCAGTGATACCCTGACTGTGATAATCTGTTAGTGGTACACTGACAGTGATACTATGACAGTTATACTATTACTATGGCACTCTCTGATACTCTGGTTGTGATACTCTGACCATGATAATATGTTAGTGGTACACTGACCATGATACTTTGACAGTGATACGACCCAGCTGCGCCACAACGCACGTGCGTGTGAGTGCATGCTAGAGACCCACGTGGTGTCCTGACATAGCAGATGTGCGTCGGGTGTTCTCCGTGGTGTATTGGTGGGGAGAGGGGGGGGTAACATGACGGTTGTGTGTTTATCATTAAGTATTTCCATGTTGAGGAGGTGGGTGGAGGGAAGGGGGGGATGATTGCTGGGGTGGAAGAATGTATGAGACAATAGAATCAGTGTGATGTAGGAGTCTAGGGGTGTTAGACCAGGGGAGTAGGCTGTGGGGTGTTAGCGCAGAGGAGAAGCCTGAGTATGTGGCGTTGCATCATAGGAGTATACTATGAGGTGTTGAGTCAAAGGGGTCGTCTGAGGGGTTTGGGTGTTCCTTAGAACGAGTGCTCGCTAACGTTGTCAGGTTCAAGTCATTCGTTAGGAGATGTAAGGGTTAAAACTAAGTTAACAGTCCAACTTCGTATTGTTTCTATTACTATTTGCTTTATTTGTGGACTTTTTGTTGTTGTTAGGATTAATCTAATTATGGACAGTCATGATCAATTTAGATTTCGGGTTACCATATACATTCTGTTAAGTTGGAAAAGCTTGTCTCGCAGTATCACACTAAAGTATAAAAGGCTGGATTGTTACCATGTTTACATGTGTGTTGGGAGGAAAGGGGGCGTAAGGATTAAACTAAGCAGTCAGTACCTGAATGTGGATTTAAACAACTGATTAGAAAGGTATGGGCGGAAGGGTGGGGAAACGGAAAACCGCTATGATGACATTTAATGTGTGTGTACGATGCGGTTTTTTTTTAGTGGGGGAAGTGATATTCGTGGGGTGGGTGTAAGGTAGACGGGGGTGGGGGGAGGTTACCATCTTCCCAGGTTTTGTTACACCGGGGATTGCTGTAAGAGAGATATGTTCTGGACTTTCCCACTCAACATCTTCTAGCGGTGAGAGGCCGCGCCCTGGTGGGAATATTCCCTCACGGTGGGTTGGGGGGATGGAAGGTGTGTGTGTGTGGGGGGGGGGGGGGAGATTAATACAAGGCAGGAGTATTTTTTCTTCTACCGTCTAGTCTTCTTTATTCTTGTCTGCTTAAGACTCGCAGCATTTTAAGCATTTAATATAAGTCTTCATTCCAACTTGATTTTGTTGTTAAAAATAGCGTAGTATGATGAAACGTATTGTTGTTCAGTAAATGTCAGTATGTAGAAAAAAAAATTGATTGTTTGTAATTTGATAAATATGCCACATGTCCCGGCTTAATATCGTTAAGGTGGCAAATAGGGGATGGTACGGCATAATGGATGTGGGGCGGCAAATAGAGGTTGGGTGACAAATAGGGAGTTTAATGAAGGGGTGCTGGGTGGGTTTAGTGAAGGGGTGCTGGGTGGGGTTAAGTGAAGTAATTTGAAGGGGGAGGGGTTTGAACAATTGAGACCTGTAGATACTCAAGACAAACTCTTCCAGGTGTCGCTGTCGATGGGGTGCATTGTGGGGGGGGGGGGATTTGATAGGAGCGGGTGGTCTCACAGGAAGCTTGTTGCATCATATGGTTAGGTGTGTGGGGGTCAGGGTTGTGGGGGGGGGGGTGGATGTCGGGTAGAAAAATACGTCGTGCGCTCACACTTCAACTGAAGGGGTGACGAAAATTTCGCCCTGGGGTAGTTGAGTAAAGATTTTGATAACTGTGGGAGGGGGGTGTGGGGCGGTGCAAAACATGGAGTATGTTTACACTGTAGGGGGGTGGAGAGAGTTTTCGCCTTGGGGTAGTGAGTAAAGATTTTTGATAGCTATAGGTGGCAGGGGGGTTAGGGAGTGCAAAATATAGTGCGTGTTTACACTCTAGGGGGTGGTGAAATTTTCTCCTTGGGGTTATGGGTAAATGTCTCGATAGGAGATGGAAGTGGGGTGGTTGGTGCTCCTCTTCGTTACCTATCCCTAATCCAGAATTACCTTTAATATATATATATATATATATATATATATATATATATTGACATGCATCACTGCAAATTACCAGCAGGCTCTCCACACCTGCATCCCAGCAGATTCCCCTATTTACAAACCATTTCCTGATTACAAAAATAGATATCACGTGTTCGGTTGTTCTTTATTTAGATTCTTTTTTTTTTCTTTTCAGTGACGACATCAATGGGAGGCAAGTCCTACGTCATCAGCCTGTTTGATACCGCTGGGCAGGTACGTCGTGTTTGTTTATTATTGATACACACATACACACATACATGACACGTATGCATACACATATACATACTTGTATACACACTCTTGCATGCACATGTACATATGCAGATGTATGCCTATGTACATGTTCATGCAAGAGTGTGTATATGCACATATATGCATACGCCCGCGTGCATTTACATAAATAAATACACCCATACATACACACATACCAATACACGCACAATCCAACACACATAATTAAAGGACACCTCCATCCACAGGCATACATCCTTGCACAGTCATACAATCACATACATACTTACAAACATCTCCATTCACATGCATACATACATTCACACACTGTTTTACAAATACATAAACACATTTTCCTACACATATACATGCACGAACCTACAATCACATTCATGCATACACATATAGGCCCTATTCGACTATACACACAATTTACAGCCATCAATGTAAATGTTTTTAAAAATGTATTGTCAAAATGATATAATTTTAAGTTTTTTTTTTTTTACATTTGCTATATTTTAAACAAAACATATATTTTGTTTCGTTATTTCGTTGTTTGAAAAAAAAAATAATTCCGGAAATGTTTCACCAGTTATTTCCCTTTGTTCCCCAACAGGAGGAGTACATCCACCTCCGTGCCCTCTCCTACGTCAACAGCGACGTCTTCCTCCTCTGCTTCTCCGTGGCCATGCCGGAGTCACTCCGTGACGCCCACGACAAGTGGATCTCCGAAATCCGCAAGTACTGCCCTAAAACTCCCATCATCCTCGTCGGCACCCAGATCGACCTCCGAGACGAGGCCCCCTCGACCAAACCCGCCTCCAAAACCACCACGACCAAAGGTCCGCCTGTTTTCATCAGTACCAAAGAGGGTGTGTATGCCGCTTCGAAGATGAACCTGGATTGTTACGTGGAGTGCTCTTCTTTGACGGAGGCTGGGATTTCTCGGCTCCGCGAAGCCGCGATAGAATGCGGGTTGCGACAGGTGAGCCCCGAGGATACCGGATGTCAATGCTCGTGTTCGATCTTGTAAACACATTTCCTGCTTGACGATAGCTTCAAATCGCCGTGTTGGGAAAGGAAGAAAATGATTTTAAAATGAAGGGATTTTTATTTTCGTGCAACTTGAATTGGAAATTCCCGAAATGGTGCGAGAGAGAGAAAAACAACAACACCCTGTATGGAAGGGTGATATGGATGTATTGCACCATGATGCACTATTTTCTGGGGACAAGCTGTATACAGAAGCAACGTTTTTGTTTGCAAATAGCAGATAGATTTGCTGCATGGCAAATGCGTTATTTAAAAAAAAAAACGCATAAAACAGAATGGCACCGATTTGGACTCATAATAAAAAGATCTGCAGGTCATTATCAACGTACATGTCGACTGTGTTTATACACCACAACTGTGTAAACCACGTCACTACACATCCCACAATCATTCATCGTCTTCTCGGATCCGTGTTCTGTATTCGATTACCACAACCACCACATGTGGGCTGAGCGAGCAAGTTTTTCAGCGCGAGGAAAGTGCTTAACTACCGGAAGTGAACCCCATTCGTCTGCAGACGGCTTAGTTATTTTACTTGTTTGGTTTTGTTTGGTTTGTTTTTTTTTTCTGGAAAATTCGAATACTGACCCTGCTTGGGTTCATCATCATAATATTCTGCTAATGAACCTCATGATAATCATATGGGTTATATTTCTGATTGTTACTTTGTGGGTCTTTGTGGGTTTCCGTGACCCCCAAAATCGCATGTAGTTGGCATAATCTTTTCACCCTTTGTAATCAGCATGTATTTCTGATTTCTGGTACATTGAGTATATAAGAAAGTATTGCAATTGTGCATATTCAAAAAAAAAAAAAAACGAGATTTAGACAAATCTCGACGTTTTACCACCTATACGAGTAAAAGAAACTAAGTTTTTGCAATCAGGTTTAAAAAGCGAATCACAATAAAGACGCTAATTGGTTATTTAATTTTAAAGTTTTACCCTGGAGAAGAACACACAAAAAACGGTTTGTTAAACAGGTCCACTTAACGCCTTAGATAACTGTCGGCTTTCCCTTTGTTGAGATAAGTTTGATTCAGCCCTATCTTTCCCCCCCTCCCACCCCCCCCCCCCCCCCCCCCCCCAGGGCATATTCCTCCACCATCTCAGCCCATCTTCGCCGAGTGAAACGATCCGACTCGTCTGATCTCACGACACAGAAGAGTTCATTGTTGTATCGTCCAGTTACCGGCAGACATCAAAAAGTGGCCTCTTGTTTACTGAAACAGCAGGGGCTGGTCGCGGTCTTTTTTCGCTAGGGGGCTACCCACATTTCAAGGCCACCCCTATTTCAAGGCCACCCACATTTCAAGGCCACCCATATTTCAAGGCCACCCTTATTTCAAGGCCATCTCTGTACTAATCTTTAATCATTTTTTTTAAATCTTCGTGATTAGTAAGGGCTCCATCCCATTCGTTTTCATATTTTTAAAAATAATTTTAAAGAGGTGTTAGAGTTTTGAATATTCTTTAACCTAAAATTATTTAATCATTTAAAAATGAAAAAAAAAACTGTAATGGTAACACGCATTATTTCTATCGTAAAAATTGCTTCAGATCCAACTTTCTTTAGTTAAACGTAGCTCATTCACAGTAGAAACTTTACCAGTGTTGTTTTTTTTTCCAAATCCTAATCTCTGTCCCTTTTTGTAGCTAATTTCAAACGTCCAAAAATCAAGTGTTATTCCAAATATATACGTCTCATCTTTACACTAATATCAAGCTAATGCAAGAAAAAGTGGGAGAGAAGGGGGGGGGGAGGGTTGTTAAAGTAAACTACGCACGCGTTAGGCTTATCTTTCAGTATCCCCCACCCTGGCGCAACAAAAGATGGAGTTGAAGTGACCACTTGACAGTAACAAACGCTTAGACAAGTACGTGGCCTGGTCCCCTTTTGTGTTTCATTTCCGGCTGAGCAGCTCAACACTTGTGACTGCTTGAGCGATGTTGACCTTTGTAGGAAGTTTGAAAATATGGAATGTTTACAAAGACACTCACGTTTCATCATATATATATACACACACACACACACACATATATATATATATATATATATATATATATATATATATATATATATATATATATATATATATATATATATGTATATATATATATATATATATATATATATAAATATATATGTATATATATGTATATATATATATGTATATATATATATGTATATATATATATATATATGTATATATATATATGTATATATATATATGTATATATATATATATATATATATATATATATATAGGATAACCGTAATTTTAAAATAGATCACACAATACAATATACACTCCCATATTTTTGACAGCATTTAACACATTCTTGTAAATCATAGCCGCATTTCTAGAATATTCCAGAATATCCTGTTCTTTTATCCGTGTAGACACACTTGTCTCTTCATCCGTCACGTGGATTGTCTAAAATTAGATCTTACAGCCGGGGGTTTTCCCCTCCCCAAACTGAGGCTTACTCATTTTCGTTTTTGTTTTTTATTTTAAAATGTAGATCTAATCGCATTTTTTCTTTTGTTTTCTACCTTCAAATCAGACTCAGAATGACGATAGTTTTACGGAGCTAAAAATAGGGTACACATAGTTGTACGTGTTAATTAATTAAACTACCGTAGCGATACTTTTTTGTGGGTAAATTAATTATCATAATTAAAAAGCCAAACCCGTGACCTACTTCCCACTAGTAACACAACACGGGTGGGGCGTTGTGACACTAACGGTACATCTCTTTGTATTCAACTATCATAATCGCCTAATTTTCGAAATTCCGAAATGTGTAGCTTCATGCCTCATACTGCTCCTGTCAGAGAGTAATTCAATAGCTTATTATACTATGATAGAAAAACGTCAAGGAACGGGTGAGTGGGGGTAGGGTTAGGTAAAACAAAGAAAACACACCAACCGACCGAAATCTGCGTTAACCTAACGACCACCACCCCCCTTTGTCTACATACCAGTCCAGTTCCCGCGCGTGCACTGGTGGGTCACATGACCAGTAGTGACGTCGTCATCACTGTTGCGCTTGGGTCCGTTGTCCTCAGTGTCATCGTCTGCACTACACCATCGCCACTTCCGGCGTATACATGCGCAGTTGTTTTTTTCTTTAAAAGTAAACAACACTTTAAAAAATTGTAAAAAATTATAGTGGTTGCTCTTAAAGATAAAATGTTTTTTTTTTTTTTTTTACATTTGTGTCTGACTCATCTTGATTTATGTTAGAGTGTTACAATATTTCATGATGCTACCAAAATGTAAAGGCGGGAGGGCGGAGTAGTGTCTATTTATTACTAAGACCTTCAGGGTTTGGCTGCACCGATTATGTACCAAAATACCATATCTTCTTCCAAACTGGCATATCAGTTTTATATATATATATATATATATATATATATATATATATATATATATATATTCTGCTGTTCAAATATATTTAAGGATTTCGTGAAATTTTAAGTACCAGCAGTTTCGTAACTTATTGGGTATGCTACCTACCTAAGGGAAATAATTCATGATAACTTTCTGTTCAATTGGAAATGAGTTGTCTAACATTAAAAAAAATTAATGTTTATGCATTGAAGGAAAAGGAATAACAAATCCAATAATTTATTTACATGTTTTCATTTTTGTTCAACATCCATTTGATCCATTATTATCAAATATAACTAGTTTTAATTCATATTTTTTTTTTAAATTATTAAACATGTTAAATGCCTGCATCCATTTCATTTTAAATGCCTGTCAAGTTTTCTGATCATTTTAGGTGCATTATTTTTTTTTAATCTTAATCCATCCTGCATTTAATCTTAACTGTATTGTTATCATGTATAATACTCACTGTTACTTCATGCTAAACTCATTGCTGATATAACACACTGTTAAATTAGTAACGGAAAATAAAACTGTTACTATTGTTACTTGTCTGAAAATGTTGGGGGTCTCAAATTTTTGAGACACATTTTTTTTGTTTATGTGTCTCAAGCGAGATATAAAAATGTGTGTTGACTTTGTATGAAGTTCAATGTCTCTTATTAATTATGGGTCATGTGTTTAACATATTGTTATACATAAAGTATCAACTTTTATTTCCATAATTATGATGTAGAAATACTAGCTGTTTAATTTATTGACATTGAAGCCTTATTTTAACACAGTTTAAATTTTAACAGCTAGTTTAGGTATTTTTAATAGCCTCGGACAATCATTCTGTTTAATGTATTAAGGTAATACATTTTTAAAAATATTATTTTACTGTTTATGATTCATTAAATATAGATGCTATAGTTTGTGATTTTTTTTTTATATTTTTAAATTTAAAGCAGTAACTGAAAAAAAAAAATTTATAAAATAAAATTTTCTTAATAAGTTTCAGAACAAAAAGTTCTGTGTATAATTTATTTTCTGTTTAGACTTAGATTACCCTAAAATGTCATAATATGATGTGGTTTTGTATAACATGATTTTATATAGCTTATCATGATATGAAATTATATGACTTGGTACGAAGTAGTCTAAAATGACTCAGTGTGACTTAAAATGACCTTGTATGACTTGATGTGATGTTATTAGACTAAAAAACTTAGCATGACTTTATAATGACCTCCAAGGACTTGATGTGACCTAATTGTGACTTGAGATGACTTGTTCTGACTATGTACCTGTTACAATCCCCCCTCCCCCCTTACCTGTACAAATCTAAACATTCCAGGTCCTCGTTAATTTCTACCAGCACAATCTCAGTATTACATCTGTTTAGCTTTGTGTTTAACCTAGTTACTAATAAAATGTTATGTATATTATGTAACATTATCTTTGATTGATTTAGCTGTATTTTAATTGTATAAAATATTTTTTTGTAAATAATTCAACAGTATATTTGAAAGATTATCATGTATCCATATTAAAAAAAACCTACAGAGAAAAATCATATTTATTTATTTTAATTTACAAAATAATATAAATGTTTATGTATTTATATTTAAAAAACTATTCTTCAAAAGGGATTTACCAAGTGATCCCCCTTAGTTCCATTATCTGTACTGCTCTCCCTTGCGTCAGCGTCAGTCAGAATCTGCTTCAGTACTTGGTATCACTGTCAGCCACTATTCGCTAATATTTTCAAATGTCAAAAAAATATCTAGTCAATGGCATGGATATGAAATTAAAAAATGTCAAAAACAAATTTAGTGAGATTGTTTTTATTTAACTTGTATGTGTTGTGTTTATTTTTACTTAGCAAATTAGAGTAACCTAGATTACAACGTCAACCATTCAATGACAAGGTACGTGTGGCCTTATAAAGTCTACACTAAGAACTCTTCGATTGTATGGACAGACCAAGGGGAGGGGTGTGCCCATCGTAGGGCTGGAAGAAAATATGTCGTCCCCCAGTGTTTCTTTCAAGCGCACCCTCCCCCACAGGCGTAGCGACCCTCCCGGGGACAAACTTTCAATTTGCGCCCCCCCCCCCCCCATTAATTTTTAATATTTATAATTCAAAATAGCAGCTAAATTGAGCTTATTTTAGCACCCCTGGGGACATATGTAACCCCCCCCCCCCCCCCGTCTCTACGCCTCTGCCCCCCCCCCCCCTATTTGTTACAATCACTTCTCAGTTCTGAGTATTTAGTAATGTAAATTTGTTTTGGTGGGTGGATATCGACATTTCTACCCCCCCTTTTTTTATAATCCAGCGCACCCCCACCCTAAAAGGGTAGATCCGCATATGAGTGGTAGTACCCTAATCATCAATCACCAAAACAGCCACTGAGAGAGCCAAGGAGTTTGACATAGATCATGTGTGGGCAAAGTGTCGGCCCGCGGGCCACATGCGGCTCGCCAAAGGAGTATCTTGTGACCCGCCAGACATTCAGAAAACCCCGCCTTGAACTGAGATTTGCTTCATGCCCGCGACCAAAAGTTCGTCTCGTATTTTTTTCCATTAGATCGGCCATGACAATGCGCAGGCAATGAAAATACGCACTTTTTCCGGTTTGTCAGTTTTATTTCAGTTTTGTCTATACAA